CACTTTTTGGGATCCCGAATTCCCGCTTTTTCCTGTTTTTCAGGATCCCAAATTCCCATTTTTGTCCATTTTTCCGATGTCCAATTCCTGTTTTTTCCCATTTTCCAGATCCCCAAATTCCCATCTTTGGGATCCCAAATTCCCATTTTATTTCCCGTTTTTTCCCGGTTTTTCCCATCCCAAATTCCCGTTTTTTCCACGTTTTCCCCTCTCACCTTCGTAGGCCTTGGCCGCGCTCACCAGCGTCGCCCACTCCAGCCCGGCCGTGTCCGGCAGCGGGATCAGCCCCGGCTCCAGGCGCCCCACGGCCCCTGGAAACGCCCAAAATTCCCGAAATTCCCAAAATCCCAACAAATCCCAGAAAAATCCCACCTGGAACCCCCCCAAAAACACCAAAATCCTGGGGAAAACCACCCAAAAGCCGCTTCCCCAACCCAAACTTGCCCCAAAATGCAGGAAATTCCTCAATTCCCAAAAAAAAAATAAATCCCCCCCAAATTTCCCCAATAATTCCCAAAAAAACTCTCAAAAAAAAATCCCTAAAAATTCCCAAAAAATAAAAAAAAAATCCTCAAAAAATTCCAGAAAAATCCCAAAAAATTCCCTAAAAATCCCCCAAAAAATTCCTCAAAAAATTCCCCAAAATTCCCAAAACCCCCCCCCCGCCATTCCCGTTTTTCCGTACCCGTTTTCCCGGTCCCGTGGTGGCCGCTGCGGCCGGGCAGGGTCCGGGTGCCGCTCCCGGCGCTTCCCGGGAAATCCTTGGGAATCTCCCGGCGCGGGGTGGGGGAGGGGCCGCGCCCCCCGCAGAGGCTCTCGTCCGACAGCGTCCTGGGCAGCGCCTGCAATTCCCGGAATTCCCAAAATTCCCAACATTCCCGGCATCCCGGGAATTCCCAAACCCGCCCTGGCCGTTCCCGTCCTGGGAAAACCAGGAATTCCCGAGGTTTTCCCGGCAAAAACGGAGAATTCCCAATTTTTTCCATCGAAATTGTGAAAATTCCGGGTTTTTTCCCAATAAAAACAGGGAATTCCTGAGTTTTTCCATTAAAAACGGGGAAATTCCCAATTTTTTCCATTGAAATTGAGAAAATTCCAGGTTTTATCCAACAAAAATGATGAAATTCCCAATTTTTTCACATGAAATCGGAATTTTTCCCACTTTTGGGGCTAAAACTGGGAAATTCCTGCATGGGAGGGGCTGGGAATTGGGGGAATTTCGGGAATTCTGGGGGAATTTCAGGAAGAAGATCGGAAATTCCAACTTTTTCCTAAAAAATGGTGAAAATTCCCATTTTGGGGGCGAAAAACTTGGGAATTTCCGGTTTTTGGGGAGGATTTAAAGGGCCGGGAGGGGTTGGGGATGCGGGGAATGTCGGGAATTGTGGGAATTTCGGGAATTGTGGGAATTGTGGGCTCTCACCGGGGCGGGCTCGGGCTCGGGGCAGGAATTGTCCATCAGGATCAGGCGCTTGAGGTCGTCCTCGATGGAGGATTTGGGGAGGCGCCGGGGGGAGCGGAGATCGCGCAGGGACGCCCGGAGCCGCGGCTGCCCGAACACGTTCACCTGGCTGGGGGGGAATTCCCGGAATTCCATGGAAATTCCAGGGGAAATCCCATCAAAAATCCCATTAAAATCCACCAAAATCCATCCAAATCCCCATTTCCCCTCCCAAATCCCAAATTTTCCCCCAAAAATCCCAGTTTTTCCCAGAATTTCTCCTTTCCAAGATCCAAAATCCCAAATTTTCTCCTCCCAAATTTTCCCCTCCCAAATCCCGATTTTTCCTGGAATTCCGCCAGGACCTTTTGTGCTCTGGGGGCTCGTCTGGGCGCCTCCAGCCGGGGGCAGCGCCTTTGGCTCTTCCCGGCCTTTGGGAAAAGCCGGATTTGGGAGCTGGCGCCGAAATCTGGGAAACGCCGAGAGGCCTGGAGGGGGAAAATCGGGAATTTTAGCTGAAAACTGGGAATTTTTAACCAAAGGAAAAGCGGGAATTCGGCCGCGGGTCCCACCTGGTGGCTTGGAAAGCCTCGGGAAGGGCGGAATTCCCGGATTTGCCGGGAGCCGAATCCTTGGAGCTTTTCTGGGAATTCCAGGGCCCTCGGGAGCCTTTCCGGGAATTCTGGGAATCGCCGGAGTCGGGCTCGGCCTCGCTGGAGGCGGAGCTGGACAGGGACGAGGGGCTGGGATGGGGCGGCTCCTGCTGCGGGAACAGCGGGAATTCCGGGAATGCCGGGAATTCCAGAGGGGCGGGAGCCCAAAAATCCCCGGAATTCCAGAGGGATTTGGGCAATTCTGAGGGGTTGGGGGGGATTTTTGGAGGATTTTTTGGGAATTCCGGGGTTTTTTGGGAATTCCGGGATCGGGCTCTCACCTTGGCCAGGCGGTTGGGGGAATCCTTCCCGCCGGGCTCGGGACGCGCCGGGCGCTTCCCGGGAATCCGCGCCGGAGCTGGGATGTGCCAGAGGGGCTCTGGAAGCACCGGAACGGGATCGGGAATGTGGGAATGGGAGCGGGAATGGGGCAGGGAATTCGGGAATTTGGAAATGGGCCGGGATCAGAATGGTGCCATTCCAACCCCTGCTCCCAAGCCCCGATCCCAAAATTCCTGCCCCATTCCCAAATTTCCCCTCCCCATTCCCAAATTTCCCCTCCCCATTCCCGAATTTCCGTACCTGCCTTGAGCCTCTCGGCGCCGCCCTCGTGTCCGATCCCAGCGGCCTCGGCGTGGCCGGAATTCCCAGAATTCCCGGGATGCGGCTCCGCTGGGAACGCCGCCCCCCTCTGCGGCCTGCCGAGAAAAAATCGGGAATTCCGGGGATCCCACACCCGGGAAAATCCCGGTTTCTCCCCATTCGCCCCCCTTATTTCCCATTTTCCCAATTTTTCCCCATTTCCCCCCGATTTTTCCCAATTTTCCCACCTTTCCGGGGGCCCTTTGGCACTTCCCGGAGCGGAGAAGCTTCCGGAAGGTTGGCGGAAGGCGGAGGAGCCGCTGGAATGAGGCGACTCCGGGAAACTCAGGGGCCTGGAAAAATTGGGGAAAATTGGGGAAATTAAAAAATGGAGGGGAAAAATTCGGGGGAATCCTGAGAATTTTGGGGGCAATTCTGGGAATTTTGAAGGGAATTCCAGGAATTTTGGGAGGAAACCGAGGGGAACCAAATCCCAGGAATTCCGGGGGGGTTTTGGGGGGACCGGAATCCCAGGATTTGGGGATTCCCGGGATTCACCTTTTGCCGTGGCCGGGCTGAGGCTCGCGGTGCGCGGCTCCGGGCGGGGCCGGC